TTTCAGTCGTCGTTCCGAACGTTAATCCAATACATGAGTTTTCAGTCGTCGTTCCGAACGTTAATCCAATACATGAGTTTTCAGTCGTCGTACCGAACGTTAATCCAATTGTTCATATTCCGTAATAGTCGTATTGATTAATTTCTTTATACATTTTATGGCTAAATAATCTGAAATGTTCAGTTCTGAATAATTCTATATGGAAAACCAAAATGTTTATAGAACTAAGAAGGTGATTTAACACCACATGTGACCACATTAAGTAACGATGCTGTTCAAGTGTCAGAATAACGTTTGTTTCATAAATGTCGATAAAACTGAACAAATAAAAAATATCCATGAGACAAAGTTTCTTATTCACAGATCCGCCAATCGTATTGATGGAACCACGATCGGGAATCACCATTAACGAGACTGAGGACGCCACAGTAGGCTGCACCTTTGATGCCAACCCGTCCGAAGTGAGCGATGTGATTTGGTATAAAGACCGCGTGCAGCTGTCGGTGGAAGACAAAGACAAATTTAGATTGAAGAACTCCGGTGAACTTACTCTAGTTATACGGAATGTGACACGCAGTGATTCAGGGCTGTACTCATGCACATTAAGTAATAAGGTTGGACGAGGGAGCCCAGATAAGCATATTGAAATCAATGTAGTGTGTATGTATTTTTTAGTTAATGGAAACTCGAATATTTGAGATGTTTTCAACTTTATTGTAAATCCTTGGAAGTCTTTATTAGTGTAGTACACTAAATAACAATACGTTATTGTTGTAATAGTTTTAAAGACAAGAGAGCGTCACACTATTTACAGTTGTAGGTTGGGCTCAAATATTGTGTTTATAATTAATATAAACATAGTAGTTGATAAAAGTCTATATTAAATGAGATTAGCTAAAACATAGATAATTTAGCCACTTAAGTATCTGTAAAACTTTGGATATTGTCTCTTGTGGTGGTTATTGCTGTCTATGACATTCCGCGCAAAGCTGATCAAGAGGTATCTGCGCAAGCCGTCCTTAATTTTGAAGAAATAGACTAGAGTGAAGACAACTAGTCAACATTACCTTCTCATGAGTTGTACTTAGGGAACAGTGGGATTTTATAATCGCCGTATAACATATACCCTATAGCGCAGTGGATAGCGCGTTGGATTTCTAATCCAAAGGTACCGGGTTCGTTCCCCGGCAGGGATGCCACCACCAGGGATGCTAGCTAAAAAATTACTGCAACAACAACTTCCGTTCAGTGCGAGTCTACAGGGATTATTATTTTATATATATTGTCTGGGCGCGAAACATAGAACCTCGGACCTGTAAATCGACGTTTTTTTATTTATTAATCCTAACGCTGCCCCCCACTGGCACGGCGGTATGTCTGCGGACTTACAACGCTAGAATCCGGGTTTCGATACCCGTGGTGGGCAGAGCACAGATAGCCCATTGTGTAGCTTTGTGCTTAATTAAAAACAAACAATAATCCTAACCCCTGGGCCGGTCTCGGTTCGTTTTTTTTTTATTAAAAAGGATATATCGATATCTCTGTTATGACATCTATACTGTAAAGTCGTTTGAGTGCTTTTTGTTGTTGTTGTTGTTTTTTGTGTTTTTGTGCAGAAGAGTTTTCAGCTTTCCAACCTGCGATGACTATGTAACTTGAAGGGGTTCTTGGATATACCCCAGGGGGATTCCTAAACTTCTTACTGACACACTCCGTCTCATCACCCACATGAAGCCAAATAAATAAATATCGCGCCTGGCGTTGGATACCTTTCCTAGTAAAAGTAACGATTTTTCCCAGTTCACATCAAAAAAACACTTCAAACTTTTACGCTCTTCTATTTCAATGGTTTTCATACATATTTTTCTCGAACAATCAGAAACTTTTGGCTTCAAGAGTGAGACCCGATTAAATATCTAGAGGTATTGGCTCTGATACGCCATAAATGAAAACAAATAACCTAAAATCTGGTCCTTTTTTTTCGTTTTATTTCACGTCATTCGATATTGGATTATAAAATACTTCCTGATGTATACCTTTACGTTTTGATTTAATTCTTTCAGAATGATTTGGTTTTGTAACTTCACGCAAAGCTTCTAGAAGGCTGTCTGCGCTAGCCGTCCCTAATTTAGAAGTAATACACTAGAGAGAAGACACATAGTCAACATAACCTACCGCCAACTCTTGGGCTACTCTTTTTTACCAACGAAGAGTTAGTTTGACCCGAACATTGTAAACCTCCACACAGAGAGCGTATTCGGTAACGGGATTAGAGCTTGCCACCCGCAGAATGTTTTTATAGGTGACATAATGTACTTTCCAAATTCGTAAAGTCTTGTGCATCAAAGTTACAAATCTTATTTTCAAACAAATACTAATGCACCCTGAGAACGTGCAGATATTTAACGACCTATTTAAACTAGCGCAGTAATTAATTTAAATTAGTAGTGAAGTTAACAGATGTTACTTTAAGCATACATCTTAGAATGGCATACGCTACAACAAAAATAAACAAAAAAACAAATGGGTCAAAGAGTTAATATAGTCTGGAAAATTACACCCAAATAAGATTCTAAAAGTCGATGTTCATTAGTTTGTACACGGTTGACGTGTTTCACCGTGAAATTATGCGACAGTTTCAGCTCATTTTGTTGCCCCTACTTCGTGATTAACCTGGATCATTTAAAGCTTGGTTGTCGTGGTAAATGTTTTTGAGTTTTAGTTATTGTTTCCAAGTAGTTGTGTGACAATGTTGCCTGCTAGTGTATTATTTAAAGCTTTGTTATTGTGGTAAATATTTCTGAGTTTTCGTTATTGTTACCATATAGTTTTGTGACAATGTTGCCTGCTGGTGTATCGTTCAAAGCTTTGTTGTTGTGGTAAATGTTTTTGTTTGTTTGTTTTGAATTTCGTCCAAAGCTACACGACGGCTATCTTAGCTAGCCGTCCCTTATTTAGCAGTGTAAGACTAGAGTGAAGGCAGCTAGTCATCACCACCCACCGCCAACTCTTGGGCTACTCTTATACAACCCAATAATGGGATTGACCGTCACATTATAACGCCCCACGGCTGAAAGGGCGAGCATGTGTGACGGGGATTCGAACCTGCGACCCTCAGATTGCGAGTCGAGCGCCTGAACAACCTATCCGAAAGGATTTATAAAGCCAGTGTCATCGAGCTTAATATGGAGAACTTGGGCTTCAGGACAGAAACTGGAGTGATTATTAATGACCAGTCAGTAAGGAACTTACTGTTTGGGTCTGTAATAAGTTCAAAATGACCATATACACCACACAGCTCATTGGACTTTTGTTGTGGTCTCCATAATTCGAAACAACAAGTTTGATGACTGTGCTCTTCATAAATAAAGTTATAGTTTGACGTCTGTATTAACAAACAACGGTTTCGAGTATAGACAGCTAATAATTTGAATATGACGGTTTTACTGGCTTGAATGGTGTGAGGAAGTGACAGTATGAATGGACACGCAGATCTTAATGTGATTCCGAAAGCACTATTTGGAAGTATTTTACGAGAGGAGTATTTTACTATTTGGCAGGATTTTACGAGACGCGTTTTTTACTACTTGGCAGTATTGTGCGAGACGCGTTTTTTACTATTTGGCAGGATTTTACGAGAGTAGTATTTCATTATTTGGCAGTATTTTACGAGACACGTTTTTTACTATTTGGCAGGATTTTACGAGACGCGTTTTTTACTACTTGGCAGTATTGTACGAGACGCGTTTTTTACTGATTGGCAGTATTTTACGGGAGAAGTATTTTATTATTTGGCAGTATTTTACGAGACGCGTTTTTACTATTTGGCAGGATTTTACGAGACGCGTTTTTTACTACTTGGCAGTATTGTACGAGACACGTTTTTTACTAATTGGCAGTATTTTACGAGAGGCGTATTTTACAATTTGGCAGTATACTGACGTAGAATTGAACCTAATTCTACAGCCTTTTGTGGGCTTCAATCAGACAAGATTGTCCTAATACAGGAGAATCCCCGAGTGTTACAACTAAGGTTTCAATAGACTAGCTTGAACAATAAGCCAATTAGGTGGTGATTTGGCAGCAGGAAGATCTGATCTAAATCCTATAAAATATATAAAGAATCTTTTAAGACATTGTGTAGCTTTAATTTTCCACGTGACATCAAAGAGATATGCGTTACACGGACTGAGGAACGGAATCGGATATCCACAAGTCTTATGGTTATTGACGTGCAGTTGGAGAAACAGTATCAATATCTAGCAGGGGCGGATATACACGTTATCAAGTTTTCCATTATTGCGAAATGTGAATCTTTTGGAAAAATGGATTCAGTCTAAACTAACTCCGACAGCTTTAAGTCTAACCTTACTTTACGTGTTGAATCAAGCGATGAAATTTTAATAGAACGAATGTATCCAGTATACAAATGGCGATCCTAAAATACAATCTTATTTGATCTTTGTTGTTTGTTTGTTTTGGTAACGATTTTAATGTATAGTATCGCTACTTTAATTTATTTGGCTTGGTTTATGAGCTAATTTGTTAAGTAGAAGTATGGATTCTTTAATTGTAGACGTACATTGTAAGACATATTTAATTATTCAAACTACATACTTATACACTTACTTGTTTATTAGTCGGATATCTAAAGGAAGACTGAGCGTACACCACTGTTTGGAGAGTAGGATGCACATCATTGCTTGTTCCTTAGTTTGAAAACTGTTCGAAGGTTATAACTATTCGTTCTTATGATAAATGTATAGAGCACATCTGCTTGGAGGGTAGGATGCACATCATTGCTTGTTCCTTAGTTTGAAAACTGTTCGAAGGTTATAACTATTCGTTCTTATGATAATTGTATAGAGCACATCGCGTACACCACTGCTTGGAGGGTAGGATGCACATCATTGCTTGTTTCTTAGTTTGAAAACTGTTCGAAGGTTATAACTATTCGTTCTTATGATAATTGTATAGAGCACATCGCTGCTTGTTCGTTAGATTGATAGCTGTGTAAGAGTATAGCTTTTACATTTCTTGTTCGTTAGTTTCACAATTGTGGAATTTTAAATCATTAACACTATGTTGCAGGCCTCTTCGACCATTCTTATAAAACATGTTTCATGTCATAAACTTTATTTTTTTACCTAGAAAGTTAGCTAAGAAGAACAAAAATAAACAATCAGCTTACTTCGAGGATTCAGTTTCACCAAATCTTATATACTACTAGAAACACTGCCAAAAGTGAAAGGAGAAACAAAGACAAATGGTATATAATGTCTGACTGAGTTTAATCTTAATGTTCATGATGACTATAAATATTACAGGAAAATGAAAAATAAAATTTCAGTTTTACTCAAGCTTCTCAGAGAATATACAGTTTAATTCGGTTAGTAGTTTACAACAGTTTCTTAAACGCGAAAAAACAAACAAACAGCAGTCTCTTCTTTCTGGACCCGGCATGGCTAGGGTTAGGGCTATCAACTCGCAATCTGAGGGTCGTGAGTTCGAATCCCCGTCCCACCAAACATGCTCGCCCTTTCAGCCATGGGGACGTTATAATGTGACGGTCAATCCCACTAGTCGTTGGTAAAAGAGTAGCTCAAGAGTTAGCGGTGGGTGGTGATGACTAGCTGCCTTCCCTCCAGTCTTACACTGCTAAATTAGGGACAGCTAGCGCAGATAGCCCTCGTGTAGCTTTGCGCGAAATTCAAACAAATAAACTCTTCTTTCTTTTAAAGAACATAATGTGCTGAACAGTCAGGAATACTTTTAAACTAATCGAAGATTCATCATAAAGACATAACGTGACACAGTGAATTGTCATATCGAAGCATATGTATTTTCACACTTGTTTTATCTTATACACTGAATTAATTGAAGCTCAAGTAAAATCCTTTAAAAAAAGGTAAGTTTTCTTTGGATTTTCTGTAAGTCGCTACTTGACTTTAACTCACTCAGTAGAAATCGAAGCTGATGAAGGAAGGAATCGAAAATAACGTGGCTCAGTGGTAAGTCTGGGGGCTTATCACTCTGAAAATGGGGTTTCCATGCTCGCCGAGGACGTAGCAGTGTAGTTTTGCGCTTAACAACAAGAAAAAAAAACATTAGTTTTTAAAATATTGTTAATTGTGTTTTAGCTAATGAACAGATTTTATAACAAATTTGTTATGTAAACTAAGACTACAAGTTGCATTGTTACTTCATCTAATCTTCGGTAGTAGGATTTTAACCAAAGATGTTTGTTTGTTTGTAATTAAGTACAACGCTACATAATGGACTATCTGTGCTCTGCCCACCACGGGTATCGAAATCCGGATTCTAGCGTTGTAAGTCAGCAGACATACCGCTGTGCCACAGAAGGGGGAGGCAATCAAAGATGTTTTTTGATACAGCTCTTCAACCGGCATATTTTCATTGGTGTGATTTGTTTTGGTCAAGTGTTTCGTTTTCCAGCACGTGAACTAAATATTTATTTACTTATTCGTTTGATGCACAACTTATTAACTGATCTCCCAAATTCTGAATTGCAATCGATAATTTTAAAGGTACCAATAACGCATAAGTGTAATTACAATGTAAATAATATCCTGCAATGGTGGCATAAATTTGATTAGGTGTATTTCGTTAAGCTTTCTTGAAACCTAATTTTGAGAAGGGAACAAAATTGCATCTTCAACCAGACACATAGAGAGATTATTAGAAACGGGTGCCGCCATATTGAATATTAATACAAATGATACGAAAAGAAAAGCTTGTGTAGAGAGAGTATTGTGTCGGTGTGATTAATTGCTTCATGTCTTTACTGTCTAATATATATACGTTCAAAATAATGTGTTATTATATACACAACAGTGTGATGATAATGTTGGACATACATGTGCTGTTTGAAATTCCCTTGCAAATTCAGATTTATCTTTGTCTTTAGATCCTCCAGTGGTAGATATATCTATATCGCCTACATTTATCAACGAAAATGACGGTTCTACTGTGTCTATGAGATGTTTAACAGTAGATGGAAACCCCCGGAACCTTCTTCGGGTCCGATGGTACAAAAATGAACAGTTTATGAATGAAACTGTAGAAGATCGGATGGAGGTTGAAAACGTTAGTCGGGAAGCGACTGCTGATTACACCTGCGAAGCAGAAAACTTAGCAGGCTGGGGCGACCGCTCAGAATCCCAGAAACTAATAGTTAACTGTAAGCGAAACTTTTTTTTTTAATCAACAAATTGAAATGTAGTTAGTAAGTAGTATGTTTCGTATTCTGTAAAATAATCAGCATGTAATTAACATTCGCGATAATTTTGGGTCTACTTTTTATGCCGTCAACGGCGTATTAAAATGTTACTTGTTATAGAAGTTGACATGCTTTAGACAAGCACAAGCAAAGAAAGTTAGTAAATGGCATCATGATGATGTATAAATTCACTCGCACAAGTTACGTAGCACTTGTTATGTTGCTAAGAGATGGCGTGTCGCTTGAGAACAGCCGCAAGTTTCAGAGTTAAGTAAAAGGTGTTCAGCTTTATTGTTCTTTCATGCAAGAATTAAAACAAAGATTATTGACCATTGTTAATTTCAAAGACTGGGATTAGTGGCGCAAGACAACACTGCCTGAAACTGTCGTCATGGCTACTACACAGTCATGCATGGACCGGAAATATCTCTTAATACGTACAATACTTTTCAATAAGTTTCAGAAAGTTTTAACAATATTTTCCTGTATACGGGTTTTACATGTCCTACTTTCGATTCTGGTTTAGCAGCTTACTAATCGAACGAAAACTCTTTTCGTAACACTTGCTGTGTTGTAATCAGCGAAAAATGTCTGGATATAGCATTAGTTATTCAATTTAAATTGGTGAAGAGTTACTCTCAAGATCTAATTAAAATCTATAGAATAAACGGGGAAATATTTAATATTTTGTTAAAACTAGTATACTCACATTGAAGTTTTCTGCCGTTTCACTTTCGATAACTATTTTGCGATTAGCAGCTAGAAGTGTGTGAAACGGTCGCCACGAAACTTTAATACTGACAAAAGATATGACAAATAACATATTCAAAATACTTCCCGAATTTTGAATAACCCTATACTTTTACTCTTAAATATGAAGTTCATTCCAGGAAATACAGTACTTATAGTTTCGATTGTTCAAAAATATTATGATAAACTGGTAACTAGGATATTTCAAAAAAAAAAAGATTTATATTTATCAATTTCAATATACGTGGAGAAAATCTATCGCGCTTTGCTGACTATTTGATTTGCTGAAAATATAAAAACCGTACTTTTTCCTGAGTAAATTCAAGGACGAATAACGATCAAGTTAATGAAGAAACTTATTTACCAGTGGTGTTTGACTATACGGCTGAAAGTGAGTTATATACACGTGTTGTATTTCTAATCAAAATTCTTGTTCTTATTATCATATTATGTATATTCTACTTCAAGCAAACAACCGTGTTTTGCGAAAAAAAAATTAGAGAAATTGTTTCGTTTGCAGTTTTTATTGTTTCTTTAAAACTTTCCTTATGACGAAAAAAAATGATTCGTGGCAGATCTCCCAGGTCCAGCAAAGGTGGTAGAGATAACTTCTCCAGCAGTCAAAGGTCGAAGGTCAACCTTACAGTGTATAGTAGAAGACTTGGGTAGTCCAAAGGCTACACAGTTCCATTGGAAACACAGCATCGAAGTTCTCCCTGACATTTTCCAGAATTATACCACAGATCCAGTTGGACTAGATACACAAGGAAACTATACTTGTTCAGCTGTTAATAACGTAGGTAGAGGGCCATCCGGATACATCAATTTAGCAGCAATGGGTAAGCATTTAACGTATTGTAAGGTAGTTATTTAAAATTACAATAAAATGTAGGGTTTAGCCGGTTTGGTGAATGCACGTTTTGTTGTATTCTTAATATGATTAACTTACAAGCACACTTCTAAAATTGCGGAAAAAATTCACGTGGATACTTCAAAAGTAGCAAATAAAGTTACGTTAGAACAGCTAGAAGCTGAAGTTACACCGTAGAAAAGGTGCCATTTAGGACTATATTAGTTAGTAAGCTCATGTTAAATTTATCATGTGTTTGGTAGATTTGTGTTAATATCTTGCTTTAAAAACCATTAAATTTCAGCCAGTACGATTCTTTCGTGTGTATTTGCGGCTATAATATTCAGGCATTATTGATATTTTATACACTGTTGTATAAAAAAAAAAATGCTAACCCTAGTTATATTCTCGTCGCTTTGTTCCCTGAACGTTTTGTGATAGGTTATTGCCTAATTAGAACATAATGTAGACAGGCAATCATTGGTCCTCTATCATTATTTAAGTTGTAGTGATAAAACGATACGAGTATCGTATAGTGAAGCCGTGATACGATTGTATCGACAGGTTCGTCCGATACGACACGATTTATGTATCTGCACGACATTTGGCAAGCTTTCAGTAAACATTATAAGTGTTTTGTACAGAAAAAAATCAGAATTTCCAACAAGATGTTTTTGCCAAAAATTAATGATTGAGTACTACATGTTGTCTTCATTTCGTTTATAAAAAATATTACATGCCAAGTAACATAACAAATTAACAATAACAAAATAGATAGACAGACATTAACTTGCGCATGAAAATTTTAAAAATCACTGCAAAGTGCGAAGTACTTAAATAAGACAAGGTTAGTAATATAGATAATAAATTACACACAAGACTGTCAAACTTTGTAACAAACCGTTGGTAAAACTTCTGTATCTAGATACGTATCGTATTGACTTCTGTGATAAGATACACACCCCTAATCATTATTAATAACAGCTTAAAGTAATCAAGTTTATGATAATATGTAACCACACTATATCTACTATACCCAGTGCCGTTGAGGCCTTTTGCATAGTAGCAGGGCTTCTCGTGCTGGCCGGGATACGACAGATATAGTGGCGATTGAGATCCTATTTATAATAGGAATTTACTTGACAACAACTGTTACAGTGTAAACTGGATTAAGTTGATGTGTAATTTTTCAGAAATTCAACTTATGTCGCAACACATCAGAATTACGGTAAAGATTATTTTATACTATGGGCAACAATAATAACAAAAATAGGCATTTTGACTTCGAGAAAATTTTTTCATTAGTATTTATTATTTTGTGTTTTTCATTATAAAAGGAACTTAGACAAACACTGGAAACAGAATGACTTTAGTGCTATATACTTCGAGCTTCGTTTATCATTAGCATCAAATTGTTTTGTTTTTGATGTCAGAAAATTCAGTTTGTTTAATGGAAAGAGAATGACATATTGACGCCGTTTACTTTAATTTGAGACAGGCTCTAGGCCTATCTCTTGAAATAATCTATATATATATGTGAAATAAATCTTCGAGCTTTCACATTTTCCGTCAAAGTTTGGTTTGAAGCGTAAGCGTATACGTTCAAAATAACTTTACATTTCACTATCTTTCAATATAGGTATTATTTGTCGTGCTAAACATTTGCGGAAAGACGTAATAGCTGAAATGCTTCACTTCTGAGAAGACACGTTTTATGTAAATGTTAAGAAGCTTACATTTTATGTGTTCTTCGAGAAAATACTTGTAGTAATTAAAGAAATAAACCCTGAGCTTAATTTTGAGAAATAGCAATTTTCAAGAACCAAAGTACCATTTCTAGCGTTTTGGAGTCAAACAAACTATTTACTGGTTAGTAATTAGCAAACTTCTACTTAATGTTTCTAGATCTCACGAAGTTTTATTACTCGTTCGTAAACTAATTGGATCGATGAAAGTTTTACCAACTGGTAATAAGATGTAAAGCCTTTGTGGTGTAATTTTCCTTCAGGGAATTTATACAGTTAAGATTTATTCCCAGTCTATTTGTTACAAACGTATATAATATTAACTTTATCGCTTGAGTAGAGACATAAATACGTCCTTCCCGACTTAACCACGTGATAGATAAAACGACAATGAAGGAATCAAAGATACCTCGTCAGCAGCAAACTTTACTCATTAAAGTGTAAGGTTGTAATGTTTGAGTGTTACTTTATTAACTCATACATATTTTTTGTTTGCTTTTTGCTTAATAGCTGCCTATAGTGAAAATGTTATTTATTGATGGCAAAAGATTTCTTGCGTTCTGCAATATGTAATATCGCATCGTGTTTGTTGATATAATTCTTAACAATTAATGGATTTTTTGAGATGGATATCTCTCTCATTTTGCACTGAGTCTTGCTAAGTTTTATTCCCAGTTTTGCTCATAAAATATGTTGAGCAAAGAAATTTTTTTTTCCTTTTGTTTTTATTAATAAGTTTTAAAACTTTCAAAATATACCATTTATGAAAATCAAATCCCACGTGCAACGCGGAACTCACTTTCAATTAGGGTAAACTCGTTGTACCACTGTAATTCACATTAACATTAATGTTTTCACATCGAACACAATTTATGAGGGAAGATAATATTTAATTTCTTCGCCTGAACTAAGCAATATAAGATAGAACATAAGCCGAATCAACTGTACCACTTGTTCAAGTTTAAATGCTGTGACCAGTCACGTCAGTACGTTCTGTTCTGTAAAGATCCTTGAATAGTGCTTAAGATAGGTGTCACAACAATGGAGGTATGGAAAAAAGGAAGCTATGATTCTGATAAGCTAGTAATTTTATGTACATGCTCACACGAGATGAGTGTATATGATATCAGGCCCATCACCTTAATTAATGAAATCATTTAACCTCTTTGAAATATGAAATAACTGTGGACGAATGGCAAAAAATGTACGAATACAAAAGACTTCCAGAACGAAATTTGACCCTAGTTTTAGGTCAAAATCAACATAAATATGGCCCGTGTATATCTACAAAGATCATTTTATGCGTTTATGTTTGAAATATAAAGTTATCTTTAATTACAGAAGAATAATTTAACTATTCGCTGTTCAATACACCAGTGGTATAAATTTAAACTATATTTACCTCCCTTAATGAATTAAAAAAAATACCCAGTTGCACCTTTTGTGTGTGTGATCCTGTGTGCTAACTCCTTTGTCAGAATTTTTCTCACTTAGTTTTTATTGTTTACTAAGTTGAAGTAGTAATTTCAATGTATTTTTGTGAGACAGAAAATAGTTCATCATTTAGATATTTAGTCTTCTTTGACAATTAAATACATCTATATAGAATGAAACAAATTTACAAGCGTGTTCATTTGAAATATTTCCTCGTAAAAAATGTTGGTACTCATCAATCAGTTCTCTGTCGAAGTAACAGTACGAATAACGCTAAGAAAACTTATGTATTCCTTTCCATCTTCATAGGGTAGATATTACTTGTGATTGAATTTATCTTTGTTTCTGTTTAGCACCACCTTCTCTGATCGACAGTCTTCCACGTGTTCATGGAGCACCTTCGGACAGCAGTAGCGTGAGCATTTCGTGTAGAATTGAATGCGATCCCTTGTGTGAGATTGAATGGCTTCGTGATGGAGAGAGTATTATGGATTCTGATTTGTTCTTCGTGAAGACAACGGTTCATCCCGAGGAGTTACGTTCAAACCGATTCAAATCCGTTGTCAGCACTCTCCACTGGAACTTTACGGCTTGGCCAGGTGCTGCTCTAAGCCGAAACACCGACAACGCCAACTACACTTGTCAAAGTAGTAAGACTATCATAGGACCAGGAGTTGCAACTACAACCTTTTTTAAAGTAGAATGTAAGTTACATCGATTTGAGACGAATAGTTTTCATTACAAGTCACAAAATACCACGAAGTCCTTTGAAGCAACTAACCTTGAAAAAAAAGGAGTATATACTGTTATATTGGTTGTATTTATCTATAATGAAGATCTATGGTGTGTTAATCTATTTAACAGCTAATTAAGAAACGTGATAAAGTCCACATACGTGTTACACAGCTAAGAAGTATCATACCACCCTTGATATTTCTTATAGACACGTATGTAAGAGGAAACTGAGTTGAGTAAAACAAAATAACAGTTGTCCAATGTTAAAGGTAACAATATTTTTCACTGTTTCCAGAACATTTATAATTCATTACTCGATACTCGACAAATTCCGATTAATTTGGCCCGGCATGACCAGGTGATTAGGGCACTCGACACTGGTTAGTGCAATCTGCGGGTCGCGAGTTCGAATCCCCGTCCCACCAAACATGCTCGCCCTTTCAGCCGTGGGGGCGTTATAATGTGACGGTCAATTAAGTGAACACAACTGATAGCCCACTATGGCTTTGATCTATAGATATACGTATTCATAATGGTAAATTTGTTTTTCACACTTGTTTAAAGCACCGGCACTTTTATTTCGAATGAGTTAATTGCAACGTTTGTCCAGCAAAATGCCAATACCATTGAATACATCGGTAAATTTCAAAATAGCTAGAAATGAAAATATAGAAGTGGTGGGAAAATGAGGAAAGCTCATTTCTTTACCTAATGTAAAGTTTGTTTGTTTGTTTTGAATTTCGCGCAAAGCTACACGAGGGCTATCAGCGATAGCCGTCCCTAATTTAGCAATGAAAGCCAACTCTTGGGCTACTCTTTTACCAACGAATAGTGGAACGAATAGTGGAATTGACCGTCACATTATAACGCCACCACGGCTGAAAGGGCGAGCATTTTTGGTGTGACGGGGATTCGAACATTATTCGATGACAATCTTTCTGGTCGACCTAACTGAACGGGTGAGCTTGTTTTAGGATATTCACTCAAAGCTACTCAAGTAACATCTGTTCTAGCTGACCCTAATTTGTAATTAATACAGTACATGGAAAGCAGCTAGTCAACAGCACTCACTGCCAATTCTTCGACTACTCTAATCTAATAGTGGGTTTTGATCGTCACTCTTATAAAGCTGGTATGGACCCAAAGAGGGAAGCGCGATCTTTTTATTTCTAAGTCAAAGAATACGAACTATGGAACGTCGATCTATAGTCCGCTACCCTAATCACTCGGACACGCCTGCCCCGCGGCTAATATGACAAATATTACAAAAAGCTGTAGTTTTCAGCTGATCAGGTAAGTGTTTTACTGCCCATCGCGAGCTGGTATGTTTAAATTCAATAAGAAGCTTAAGGCTGAGTAAAATGTCAAACAATGTTCGTACAGTTTTAGTAACTGTATGGCATTCTGATAAAGAGGTCACCCGGTAGGACAGCGGTAAGTTTACGTATTTACAGCGCTAAAATCCAGGGTTCGATTGCCCTGTTTGTTTGTTTGTTATGAATTTCGAGCAAAGCTGCACGACGACTATCTGAGCAGGCCGTCTCTAATTTAGCAGTGATAGATTACAGATAAGGAAGCTAGTCAACAGCACCCACCACCAACTCTTGGGCTACTTTTTTTATCTTAACTAAGGTATTGGGGATTGACTGTAATTCTTATAATACAACCACATCTTAAGTGTGCGGGGAATATTTTGTTGTGTTGCATGGAATTGAACATGGCTCGCTTGCCCTGAAACCCAAAGCTTTACCACAAGGCCAATCCGCACCCAAAATCATTTGCGAGATCTAGAATAACACAAATTGGTTTATCAAACATACCCCCCCCCCCGAATTAATTTGACTACAAAAACAATAATGGTGACGCAGGCAAATAACGCTTTGTGTATTCAAGAAGATTTCATAAAGTATAAATTTTGTATAGCTGATGATCTGAATTATGATCAAGATGGTGGACAAGAGGCTTTAACATCAAATCAAATTTTCTTTCAACGAGTTATCTATCACTCTCGTTATATATAAGCTTGATCACACTTTATAAGAACAGTATGCTATAGTACTGTGGCGTGTCATCATCATAAACCCGAGTCGTAGCGCCACGGGCGACAAGAAATAACACCACAATAAACTTGTGGTCGGAGATCACGCCTCTTCCTGAGAAAGGATATTTGAATAGCGAGATTGTTATACGATGTAGACTGAAAGAACACAACATTCTGAAAAAAGAATGAACCTTTAATGGTCTACATGTAAGCGAAAGAAACGGTACACCTGAGTGTTTAAAGCAGTAAGTCGCTCCAAACTAAACCCAGGCAAATTCAAGTTAGTAAGAAAGATGGCTTATGAAACAGGAATCACGTAAATCCATTTCGACAACCTACTCGTCAGGATCCGAAATACAGTTCTAAAAGAGTTTTGTGCTTTTAGGATTCTTAACTATGAGTTTGAAAGCCGAAGTCCACGAGCAAGAAGACTGTCCGTGGAAAGTTTGACTAGACTTATAGTCTAAGATTGGACTTTCACAGAAACTTCTTACAATAAAAATTATGGTATCGGGCAACAATACCTGATCATTACCATCAGACTGAACACAATCGAAGACAGAAAGGAACCTGGAATTTCGTTCTTACAAAATGCAATTAACCTTCAGTATTTTTTATCGTGCTTGATGTTTTTAAATGTAAAACTATCATTTTTTCGATTTAATTTTTCATTGAGGATTGATTGACTGACTGCAGTTAAGTACAAAGCGACACAATAGGCTATCTATGCCCTGCCCACCACGGGTATCGAAACCCGGTTTTTAGTGTTGTAAGTCCGCAGACATACCGTTGTGCCCCTGGGGGGCAAAAATAACACCTCACATTTTGTCGAGGACAGGGATCGAACCTGCGTCCCTTAGATTGCTAGTCACGCGCCCTAACCACCTGACTATACCCTTCATTGAGGAATTATTAATGTATTAAACCTGATTGTTAAAATATCTTCTTCAATAACATATGGATGTAGATGATTAATATTTTGGTAGCTGAGAGAAGGAAGATTTTAAGGTAACATTACGATAAGTAGGACAAAGACTCTCACCTTGTTGGTGAAGATATGATTAAAAACTACATATATTACTTTTGGATCTCAATTATTGAAGAAAAAAGTTTAAGAGAAATATCGATAACTTAAAGATAAATTTAAATATTGACAAATTGTGACCAACAATTACGAACTTGTCAAAATATATCGTATCTTGGAGAACCATAATTTGATTAAAGAACTCCAAACTGGCATTTATCGATTTATTTAAAAATTATACCAATTATTGGCGTGTGGAATCAATATCAGTTCCACTCTTACAAATAATATAATATTGACTTTTCTAGTCATGAAATGCTAAGCCTAAACTACACTATACTTGAAAGACAAATTTGGACTGAAATGAAATTTTAAAGTTTATGTAACGATTATAATAAAGACAACATAAAAAATATATTATTTTTTTATGAGTGACTGAATACGTAAAAACGATTCACACTCCTTTCCTCAAGTATAAATTGTAATTATCGTTTGCTAGTGCGCGGAACTTCATTGTTTTTTGTAGTTAAGCACAGAGCTACACAATGGGCTAACTGTGCTGTTCCCACCACGGGAATCAAAACCCGGTTTCTAGCGTTATAAGTCTGCAAACTTACCACTGGAACTTCGTAGTAACATCAAATGAAAAGTACCTAAATAAAGAAGCAAAAAAACATTTAAACACTATGAGTAAGGGCTAATTTTTAATATGTCAGATATCTATAAAAAATAGAACTTAAAGAGGATCATCATTTTGCCACTCAGCTGAAAGTCTGTAGACCTGTAACGCTAAACACCCAGTTTCGATATCCCTGATGGGAACAGCACTAGTACCCATAGTGCAGCTTTGGGTCAAAAACAGAACAGATAAATAAAACTCTGTCATATTGCATGAATTCGTTCTACTTCACAAAATGTAATTGAACTCCAACAATTGTCTT